CCTTCCTTCTAACCCCACTGCTAGCTTCAGTTCAGGCTCTTTCTTTCTTCTCCCGAACATTTCTCCATGTAGTCCATGTTCTATGCTGCAGCCAGAGGGATCTTTCTACAGCGCAAATATAATTAAGTTGCCCACTCTTAAAACATTTCAGTGACCCCCCATCACTTCAGGACGTTGTCCAAATTCGCTAAAATGATATTCAAGGGCCTTTCCTTTCAGGCCCTGCTTCATACTCCAGTGTGATCTTCTTCCTTTCCACTTCCTCAGGTACATCCCTCACTGTAGACATGGGCTCTGGAAACTGACTGCCTGGATTCAAATCCTGACTCCACCACCTATTGACCATGTAACCTTTGGCAAGTTATGTAACATCTCTGGGACTCCATTTCCTTATATGTGAAATAGGTGTGTATCGAGGATTAAATGAGATAATACATGTAAAGCACTTAGAGCAGTGCCTGGCCCATAATAAGTACTCAGTAAGCATAAGCTAATTTTTTGTTATTGTTGTTCTTGCTGTTGTTATCTGGCCCTTGTTAACTACACTAGTGAGATTACCACAAGCACACTCCATCCCATTCCCTCTCTTTTCTCCAGCCTTAGGAACTATTTGCAGTCCCCCCACCCCTCCTACCTTCATACAATCCCACTGTGGCAGTGTGTTACCTGCTCAACGTCTTCCTCTAGGCCTCACCTTCCTACCTCCCACTCTGCCCTTTGACAGGTCCTTGTTGCCCTTCTCAGCTGGTACTTGGTAACCTGAATGCAGACTGCTTCCTTCTTAAATGACTCAGAAATTGCCTTGAGCACTGGGAATAGGAATTTGTCCCAGGTGGCAGGCTCAGCCACTGAGACTGGACGGGGCTGGTCCCTGCACCTTGTCCAGCAGGCCACTTTGTGACGTCTATTTTGTCTACCAGAGGCTTATTTTCACTGAAAATCTCCAGCCTGGACCTGTAACATCAAGGATCTTGGTTGCTAAGATTGGATGTGAATTCACCTGTGTGACAATGGACTGCTGTAACTGGCTTTGACTTTCCTGGTATTGCAGAAACAGTATTTCTTTAAAAATTGTCCCCTTACCTGCCCCTCACTACTAATAATGTTTTGTGGCTTGGTATTCCAGTTGCTGAATTTGTCCCTCAAAATATTTTAGCATGCTTCCCAAAATGGCCTGGCCAACTTTCTCAAGTGCATCATAAATCTCCAATCCAAATCTCCTGCTCTTATAGATCATCCCAGTGCCATGATCACAACAGCACAGTATGAACTCTCTGGTGATTAATGTTGCTTGTGTGTTTGTAACCCATCCTTCAACTGTGATGATGTAAAGATAAATCATTGTTCAGAACTTGTTGTTTGGCTGAAGCCAGGGGCCTTAGTGTAACCCTTCTGTTTTATAGGAGAGTACCACAAAACACAGGAAGTTAGGTGACTTTCTCAAGGTCACATGGACAGAAATTACCTGACTAAATTGGGACTAGAATCCAGATTTTCTGGTTTTCAATTCAGCAATTCAGTACTCTTTCTAACTCACCAAAAGCCATTGCTCATGAAACTCTTCATATTTAGAGACACTTGCTGCTGCCTACCATGCCCCTCATATTTTTTTTCCTAATGGAAAATAACAACAATAACAAAATGAAGACTGTATTTCACTAATCTTTGGTGTGGTATATCTTTTCAGGCTTTCATATTATATTTTCCAGAAGATTCATACATACTGAGAGAGAACTTTCACTGACAGGCCAATCTATATAATAGGGAGAACACTTCAAATGTATTTAAGGGTCAGAGAGCATGAAAACTAAGCATGACCTTGGCTAACCCTGGCATTTTAGACATGAATTCACTCAAAGTATGATCTTACCTTAACAGTACTACAGAAAGAGCTCTTTTTGTAGTGGTGCTTCTTTAAAACCATTTTAACATCTTAATAGAGTGTCTTACTGTGAAGGAGTGCTAGAATTTTGAACAGGGTGAATTTCCTAGTCACATTTCCTAAATATCCACGAGGGGGCAGTAAAAGATACATAAAATTTTCAATAGGCCTGATGAGTGCCAAGCAATCAGGCCACTACATCCTCTTTGTATTTATTTCAGCCATCCATGTATACAGTTACAGTGTAATAGATTTTATGTCCAACAGCAGGCTTGGATAAAACCAGAGATACTATTAGCTAAACGTAAGTCTTCCTCAAACACATGCTGACCCAGTAAACAAAACTTCATTCAGTATGTTGGTCCCAGATTGTATTTTCATTTAATTCACATTAGACCAGTGATTCTCAAACAGAGAGTACATCAGAATCACCTGTGGTACTTTTTCCAAAATACACACGCCTAGGTCTCATCCTAGATCTATTAAATCAGAATTTCTGGGTGTGGGACCCAGGCAAACAGCCTGTATTTTGATTCTGGTGTATGTCTCCTTGTTAAGAACTAGTGCCTTAGAGAAACTTCAGTAAATTAAGGACATGGATCACCTGGCAGTGAAATCTCAGAGGAGAATGAATACGAATTCTGGGAAACATTTCTCTCTTTTAAAAGCAGAAGTGACACAAGAGTCTGATGCTACGGGAACCACATTCTGAACAGCTATGAAGCTTTCCTGTAGATTGTTCCTGTGTTTTACCAAGCCAGGAACTCAGACAGAAGATCTGGAACTGGACAGTCCTGGGAAACTCAAGATTCTATGGTTATAGTTTAAGAGAGCCATGCTCAGGAGCCAACGTGAGACGAGAGCTCAGATACCAATACTGCCCAATATTTTAAGACAATATTTTCTATAGTCATCAGGATAAAGAAACTGTTACATCTATCTTATCAGACGTAAAAATGGCACAGTGAACTTGAGGTAGGGTCAAGGAGACCTCAATTCTCAGTCTAACCATCCCACCACCCGGGGCCCAAGGTAAGTCACATCACGTCTCTAAGCCTCAGTTTCTCCACTTCAATTATGAGAGGATTGGACTATGTTGATCTCTGAGGATCCTTCCAGTTCTAAAAATTTAATGATTCTATTAGTATTAATAATCTTGACTTGTATGGTATTTCTCTGGCAAAGCGCAGAAGAAATATTCAGTAATGCAGTGAATGACAGAGACTATCGACCATGTAGTTTAATTTATTTGAGGCATATACACTGAATTCAAAGGAGAAAATATTACTCCCAATAATATATTGAACTGTTAGTATTTTCAGCATAGGAAAAGCTTTCCAGAGGGAAAAATTACCCATCAGTGCAAACTTGACATTTTCTACTTCCTGATCCATAACCGCCATTTGTCCAGCATGCTTATATTTACTGTAAGGTGCCAAGTGTATGTATGCTTTGGATGAATATTAAATAACTACATAAACGTCAAGGTCATAGTTACAAGAAAGGTTCAGTTGAGGGCCCTGGAAGGCTTGCATTGATGTCTTGTGAAGTTCCATTCTCGAATCCTGCTGACAAGGGGAAACAATTGATGGGGACCATTATAAAGGCTTTAAGTGTTTCTCCATTGTTAAAGATCTTTTACAAGCCCCAAGTAACTGATAGTGCCCAAGGAATTGGCAAAAGCTTCACTTAGAAATATAGATTAGTCAAAGAGATAAGTAAAACCCAGAGAGTAGGTGTCCTGGATTGGGCTTACACAGCAAAGTTGCAGGGCTGAGGTGAGTTGAGCACAGGGACACACCATGTCCTTGGGCTGCCTGGGCACTGCCCTGAGTTACTGAGGTAAGAATGGAAGGCCTGTTCATGGGCTCTGTCATGCCACTGGTTTGGACAGATCATGTCAAGCAGAGAGAGTAGCTCCCTTTTTCAAATCTACCTTTAAATTTTGTTCAGCTCTTCTCCAGCAGTGAAAACCTCTTTTTCTACTATTGCAGTTCATCCCTTCCCCAGAGCTGCACCAAGGATCCCATGAGTGCCTGGGGAATCGGGGTACATGAATTATGCAGACCCACAGCTCCAGACTGACTGTCTGGACTGGTCAGGTGCTCAAGATAATTATGTAAATGTCCCGGTGACCTGAAGCTGGGAGGAGAGCAAATATTGCAAATGACAGAATCTAGTTTCAAAAAGGTCTCAACAGACTGTACGGATCGGCCACATCTACTAGATGAACTTAATCAGGGATGTAAATGATAAAACTACCATTTCCTTTGCACTAACTATATGTTTAGTATAATGCTTAGCCCTTTACAAATTTTAGTTTATTTAATGTTTACAGCAACCCAGTCAGGGTAGGACATTGAGACATGGTAACACAGAGGCAAGTGCAAGGACTTTAGACTGACTTAGAATCCGATCCCAATTCTGCCCCTCAGTTAGTCAGCAAGTTACTTTATTAGCAGTACCTTGGCTTTATGCCTACCTTTTATGGGATGCTGAGCCCTTTGCATTGATTATCTCGTTTAATCCTCAAATCCTTAGAACAATCTTATGGGATCAGTACTATTACTACTCCTATTTTACAGAGAGGGAAGGCTCAGATAACTTACGTAACTTGCCTGAGGTCATACGGTATGGAGCAGAACCAGAATTTGAACCCAGGAAGCCTGACTCCAACACCCACACTATTAGCAACTGCTGTACTCTCTCCATTTCCTATATTATAAAAAAGAGAACAATCATATTTTCTGTGAGCATTAGATAACTTCTGTGAAGTGCCTCAAATAGTACCTGACACTCATAAATGGTACTAATTATTATCATCATTTAAATAACTTGTTCAAGGTTATAGCTAATAAGTGGCAAAATGGAATTTGAACCCAGGTCCTGTGGTAGCAAATCCACTATACTCTCCTGGAGGACAGGATTCAGGACAGTTCTGTGCCACTGTCTCACTACCTAGGCCAGTGTTATCTCCATGGAAAATGCTGAATGAGTGTTCAGATAGACTGGGGCATTTTGTCACTCATTCACCAAACATTTGCTAAGGTCCTACTCTGTGTTGGGAGGTCTAGAGAAGAAAAGAAAATAATATTAACCATTCTTTTCTTTCCCCCAGGTTCGGATGGTGAAAGATGGTGACCCCTCGTGGAAGCCCACTTTTATTGTAAAACCTGATGGTGGTTGTCAGGGTGATGGAATCTACCTCATTAAAGACCCCAGTGACATCCGCCTGGCAGGGACCCTCCAGAGCAGGCCAGCTGTGGTCCAGGAGTACATCTGCAAACCTCTCCTTATCGACAAGCTGAAGTTTGATATTCGTTTGTATGTCTTACTAAAGTCCTTAGATCCCTTAGAGATTTATATAGCCAAAGATGGACTCTCGAGATTTTGTACTGAGCCATATCAAGAGCCCACTCCCAAAAATCTGCACCACATCTTCATGCACTTAACCAACTATTCCCTGAATATCCACAGTGGTAACTTTGTCCATTCGGACAGTGCTAACACAGGCAGCAAAAGGACTTTTTCTAGCATTCTTTGTAGGTTGTCTTCTAAAGGTGTTGACATCAAGAAGGTCTGGTCTGACATCATCTCCTTGGTGATTAAGACCGTCATTGCCCTGACTCCAGAGCTCAAAGTTTTCTACCAGTCGGACATCCCAGCAGGGAAGCCGGGGCCCACATGCTTCCAGGTAACCAACGCCACTTACAAGCCTGAGTTCCCAACCTTGACTGGGCCTAAAGAGGACTCCCTGGTCTCATCTGGGATGAGGGGTGGAGATGGGATGGCCAGAGGGGGATAGGGTTGGTTGCCAGTGTGGTTATTAAACCTGGGTCCAATTCTCAGTGTTTTATTTGCTAGCTGTGTGATTTGGAGCAAGTTATTTCCCTTTTCTTACCGGTAAAATGAGATGTGATTTTCTTAATAGTACCTACCTTAAACAAGCCTTGTAAGAATTAAATGAGATAACATATATGTTATGGATTGAATTGTGTCCCCCCAAAAAATGTGTGTCAGCTTGACTAGTCCATGATTCCCAGTATTATGTGGTTGTCCACCATTTTGTGATCTGATGTGATTTTCTTATGTGTTGTAAATCCTATCTCTATGATGTTAATGAGGTGGGGTTGGAGCAGTTATGTTAATGAGGCAGGACTCAATCTATACAATTAGGTTATGTCTTAGTCAATCTCTTTTGAGATATAAAAGAGAGAAGCAAGCAGAGAGACATGGGGACCTTATACCACTGAGAAAGAAGCTCCAGGAGTACAGCGTGTCCTTTGGACCAGGGGTTCCTGTGTTGAGAAGCTCCTAGACTAGGGGAAGGTTGATGACAAGGACCTTTCCCCAGAACCGACAGAGAGAGAAAGCCTTCCCTTGGAGCTGGCACCCTGAATTTGGACTTCTAGCCTCCTAGACTGTGAGAGAATAAATTTCTGTTTGTTAAAGCCCTCCACTTGTGGTATTTCTGTTATAGTAGCACTAGATAACTAAGACAATATATAAATCATAGCGTCTGCCATTCATTTATTCATTAATTCTTTCATTAATTTTTACCACCTGCCTAGTAGGAGCCAGGCACTGCCTTAGGTACTAGGGAGACAGCGTTTAGTAAGTTGGGTCCTTGCTGACTGATGCATTGAGTCTATTGTGGGAGACAAATAATTTAAAAAGCAATTATTATAAAGGGTGATAAGTGCTAGAATAGGAGATATACTGGGGGCTGGGAGATTGTGGGACCATCTCACATTTTCTGGGTGTGGTGGTGGTCAGGGAAGTTTTCCTAGAAGAAGTGACAGTTAAACTGGAATCTGAAGTAAGAGTTAGAGGAGCAGCTATGCTTGCAGAGGAAAGAGGGAACATGATGTGTTCAAGGGACTGAAAGAGGTTCAATATGGTTGGAGGGCAGGGTTTGAGGCAGAGGTGTGGAGAGATAGGAGAGACAAGGTTGGAGAGGTAAGTAAGGGTCAAGTCATGGAGCACCTGAGGGCAGTGGGGGACCCTGAGAGATTCTAAGCAGGGGACTGATGTATTCAGATTTGCATGTTACAGAGAATAAACTGTTTGCAGGGTGGAGAACGGATTGAGGCAAGGATGAAGGCAGGGAGGTCACTAATGAGGCCAGTGCTTTTGTACAATCAAGAGAGGATGCTGACTTGGATTAGGAAGGTCTTGGTGGAGGTGGAGAGAATGGGTAGATTTGAGAACCATTTAGGAGGTAAAATGGCCAGACTTGGTGAGTGGATGGAATCAGGGATGACTCGCACTTGGGTGGATGGATTGAAGCTATGGGAAGAGGACCAGGCCTGTGAGGGAAGGTCAGGAGTTGAACGTGAACATGTTTGAAGTGCCTGTGTGATATACAAGTAGAGACATTCAGTGGACAATTGAATATTTGGGCCTGGAGTTCAGGAGAGAGAGGTCTGGCCTGGAGAGAAAGATTGGGAACTCATCAGCGTTCAGATGGTTACAGAAGCCATGAGAGGCTGTAGGATGAGAAGAGGCCTGAGAAGATCCCTGTGGGCACCACCATGTAAGTAAGGGACAAACAAAGGACGGGGAGCTAGCAAAGGAGATCGAGAAAAAGTGACTTCGAACATAGACAATACATCAGGAGAAGAGATTTCCTAGATGCCAAGGTGCTTGCAGGCAGGGCCAACCCTGTCAAATGCTGCAGAGATGCCAGCAAGACCAAGGCTGAAGCAATTCATTGTATTTTCCACCAAGGAGTTCACTGGGGACTTCAGCGATAATTGTCTTCAGGAGTGTGGTGGGGCCAGGGGCCCGACTGTAGTAGACTGAGCAGAGTGTGGGAGCGAAGGAAATGGGGAGTGAGGATAGAGCATTCTTTCAGGATGTTTGACTGTGAGAGGAAGGAGAGGGTGGTGGTTGGAGCACATGGAGTCCAGGCACGCAGTAGGCAGTTTCCAGCCACCAGATAAATCAGGCATTTATCAGGAGATGATAAGAAAGGGGATTCCTGGGACCCTCTCCATCCAGTCTTTTAAAATTACTTTGTAGTAGTTGATACGTATAAAAGAATACATGGGACTTCCATGTAAGCTATGAAGAGGAACAACAAAATTATCACCCCAAACACACCTCCCAACCTAAGAGCTGCAATTAGTATGCTTCTCTCCTGTCCCATTTCCCTACCTACCACACAGAAGTAACAGTATCCTGAATTTTATATTTATCCCTTGTTTTTTAAAAACTACTTTTATTACATACAAATGTATTCCTAAACAATATACTGTTTTGTTTTGCTGTTTGGAGGCTTTATAAAAATGCTATTATAAAGTATGTAGTCTTCTGCAAGATTTTTTCCACTACTACCTGTAATTTTCAACGGCCCATCCATGTTGATGTAAGTAGTTAGTATTTTTTTCCATTTGTACTGCTGTATAATATTTCATTGTAAGTCTGTACAATTTATCAGTTTTCCTGTCTCTGAGCATTTGGGTTATTTCCAGCCCTCCATCTAATCCTAACAACAGAGATAATGCTGACTTTATCACCTCCTCCGACCACACTGGTCCCACCAAATGCTAGCTAGTCACCAGCTCCACAGGCCCCCTCTGCCGCCTGCCTGGATGTCTGAGAGCAGTGGGGACAGATGGAGGGGTATGAAGCCTATAGCTTAAGTCCTTTATACTGTGATTGTTACTGTGTTGTGAGAACTCCATCCATATTACAAAATTAGGCACTACTTAAGATTGTTCCTTTTTAGACTTGAGGATCATAAAGTTTCCTTGGTGTCCAGTTTAGAATATCAGTTTAAGAAAAGGCTAGGAATATTTTACCCTGGAGACTGCGGTAGGAAGGTAATGGTAGCATGGAACAAGAAGGGAGAGGGGAAGGAGTTGGGTGGCCTTTCTAGTGAATGGAAAGTTCATCCAACAGCAGAAAGAAAGGCTGGCTCCTGAGGTGCAGCCCCAAAGCAAGGGCATCTACCCCAGGAGCTGGGCGCCAATCAGCAGGATTTCCATGCAGGCTGGAGGAGCCATTTGGAGGAGAATTCAGGCAATGACCAGTATCAGGAGAGGATGATTGTCATCCAGTGATCTGTCCTTAAGCACTTAGACCCCAGGCCTTCAGTTCCTAGGCAGGATGTCCAGCTTAGCCATCAAGTGTTTTAAAGCTTTAGAAAGAATAAGTGGGCAGAACTTAAGAGGCAAGGTAAGAGAAAATAGGTCCTGACCTGAGCCACCAAGAGGTTAGGACAAAGGAGACAGTTGCAACGTGGAAGCATACAGAGGTCATCCTGGGAGACCGTGTGGTTGCATCCGTTTGACAGTGAAAGCTATTCCAGGAGCATCATGTGAGCCCATCATTCATAGCCAAGCCACAGGATCCTGGCTTGGTGAGAGTGGCCGGGTGGAGGGCCAGGGTGGTTGTTTTGCTGTTTGCCTTGCTATGGACAGGCTGCATGGGGGCAGCCATAGGGGTGTTACCAGGGACCCAAGCTGTGGGGAACAGGAGAAGGCCAAGGCAGACGAGGAGGGAGCCATTGGTTTGGACAGATCATGCCTAGCAAATGGAAGTGACCATTTTCCATCTCTTGACCACAACTAAATGCTTCCAGGCCTAGGGTCAGGGGAGAAGCACAGGACTAGAAATACAAGCACAAGTAAGAGCTCTGTCTCTCGCCAGCTGTGTGACCTTGGGCAAGCTTCTTCACCACCCCGAGCCTCAAGATCCTTATCTATAAGTCATCTACACTCACTTCCCTACCTGCCTTCATAGACGCGTATTTGTAAAGTAACATAGGTCAAAACACTTTGACAAGGTATGAAGTGTTAGATGTTTGGAATTATATTGTTTTACCATACATTTCAGATACACAGTGATTGAGAGAAAATATTATCCTATTCTCCTTGGGGAGTCCTATCATACTTTCTTTATTCTTATCACTTGTTAAAACACTCTTTGAGTCTCAAATACCTGAACTGACTTGGAACCACAAGACTTAGGGAGAAGGTATGGTTCTGCCACTGACTTGCTCTGTGATCTTGCATATGCCAATCAACTTCTCTGCGCCTCAGTTTCCTCACCCACCTCACAGGGTTCTGAACCAATTCAAATGTGATAAAGCCTATGAAAGGACTTTGCAAACTGTAGTGCTCTGCACATATATAATACCTTATTTCTTTGCCATGCAACCACTTTCACTTGTAGCCTGGGCCTGGCCCAGATTGCATTATTCCAGAACATACTCCATAGCCCAAAAAATTACATTTATATTGCACATGTGACTGTGACCTTTTTCCAATCATAGCCACAATAACTACTTGGGAAATTGTGATGGCCTAGAGCAGCTGCTGGCGCTGTTCAGACTGTGGGCAGGTTTCCTGTAATCTGTTGCCTAGGAACATGGCTGCCCTGTCATTCCGGCTTTTCCCCCTGTCATTGCCCACTCAGCCCTCAACAACATATTCTCGTGTCAGTCTTCTTGAAGGGCAGCAGTGTGACCCTGGCTTAAATAGTAAGGTCCATCTAGGTATAGATGATTCATGTAGTAAAAATACTCATGCAGAGGAAACCTTTCCAGCTCAGCTTTCAAGAACATTCCATTACTTCGTCTGTATTTTCCCCCAGCTCCCTATGTCTAATTTTCTCCTTAGCCTATGGATCCTTTCCCTTAGACGCCTGGAGGAGGGCCCTTTCCAATTACTAAGGTGTTTCTCCTGT